AAAATGCATTTTTAAAGTGCCACAAAACAAAATCTGTAAACGAAAAACAAACCTGGTAACATATGTTTTACTTAATATACAATTTTCATATATATAAAATGTACTATGCTGTGACTGCATTTTACTGCAGTTTGGCTCCCCATACAAGTGAAATGTATTGAATAGTCTGTGTTTACATTTCATGACCTATTTTCTGGAACTTGTCCAATTGTGTTCTGCATTGTCGGTCAATGCCACAATTTTTTTTTGGAACATGTGTCAATTAGGTACACACATGTGAATGACGCTTGATAATTAAGTGTTTGTTTGTTTGTATCAATTAGTGATCTGTAATCTCTTGTTTTCTTTGTGGTGGTTGATTGGCAATAACACTGCTTATTGAAAAGTCTGTTTTGTGTTTTTTAACCCCTCCAATAATGTGTTGGTCCGTGTGACACATATTTGTTTTTTCTTGTGTGGAAATTATACCATTTGATGTTTATTTTTACCAGTAATACTGCTTACCGGGGTATTGTGCTGTTGTTTTTTTTAGCTCAGCTGTCCTTGGAAAGGTCAGGCGGAGCTTACAATATGGTTTTGCATTAAATGTGACACCCCCCCCCCCACACACACACACACACATTTGAGATTGTACAAAAGTGCTTCAAATCAATTTAGTAAAATCAGACAAAAGATGAACGCCTGTATATTGTGGAGATAGATACTCACACTTCCGATTTAGCATCATTACTTCCTTGATTTTAATTAAATTCATGGTTTTCATTTTGTCAATGATTATGAAACCTGTATTGGAATTCCTCTTTATTTTCTTGATTTTAATTAATTTTGAAGAATTGGTGAAATCAGTGAAATTTAATCCCACTAAATAATCAGGTCATATATACATGTACGCAATGTGAAGAAATCACTTGAGTCTTGACGTCTAAGTGGATTGCACATCAACAGAGCGTAGAGAAGCGTGTTTACTTTTGTGGGGCGTTCTTTTGTCGTGGGACTTTATGATCGTTCTATAGGTTTATTTTCAATTTATTAACCAATCAGATTTATCGTTGTTCTTTGACTGTATATGTAGTAAAAACATGTTTTCTTAGCTTTTTGATAAGGATTTTTGGGACGGGGATTTAACCTCAGTGAGTCTATGTTTCTAGTTTTATGATTAGATAGTACTCATTAGGTTAATCACTTTCCAAAGGGATTTTCTGACGCAGGTGCATCAGTGGCTAATAGATTAAGTCACAGGCATCATTATTGAGTTAACCTTTTCACCACCACTTCGGTCTTTTCATCACAAATTCACAAAATAGTCCTGTTTATACTCTGCACTTTGCTTCAGAAGCTTGGGACAAAAACAGCCAAACTGTTTGAGTAAAAACTGAAAGTTTATTCTAATATTGTCTTTTGGCTACAAAATTAGGGTTCATTTCCAGAAATATTGAAGAATATAATAAAAAAGTGCCTACAAATTTGGGCAAGAAAGTACTCTGGGAATTACCAAAACACAGCTTGTTCAATTAGAAAATATCTTTACATTTTCATTAAACACAAGTTTGAAACCTAAAATTGAGGTGTCCCCTGATTAACTGCTTGAATTGAAAGTTCATCCATTTACAGTAAGATTCGGCACATGACGCCCTTATTCGAATTTCAATGATATATGATTTGCATAGTTCATCTTGTTCGACCTCTGTTATCTACTCCGATCTTCGTTCATAACACACGCACAGCTTTGTTAAACCAAACAATAACCCAATTTTTACTGATAATTCTTTTCTCAGTCTGTATCGGTTATCATTTCAATTTTTTTTTAGCGACACTGATCTTGTCACTTGTCATTGTGCCCAGTAAAGTACGTGTTTGTTTGATGTGCTTTGTCTTGGAGCGCTGTTTTATACGACTATAATACACGCCATGATTGAACCTCAAGCTGTTATAGTCTGTTCAAATCTACTGGTACCTTTAATCAGTCTGATGACTCACTCTTTCACGATATAATCGGGTATCATCTTCAGGAGTTAATGAAAGGGTGTTTCTATTTAATGAAAGAATTTCAATAGAAGTCGTTGATTGTAGTAACCACTGATTATCATCAACATTTAGTCCAATTCACTTGATTGGATCAAAATTAATATTTAATTTTATATGCACTTGGTCGTAGTGTGATCTCTACTAGTATAATTATTTAAAACTATATATTTTTATAGTTTATGTGAATTCAGTATATCTGGGGAGCAATTGGATAATAATCTGTCTGACATCTGTCCGTCGATGTTGATGTTCCATATAAGCTTTCAACTTCCTGGTCGGCTTTGATATCTGCCGCGTACGAACATGATGAAGATTCTGATTTTAGTGAATTCATTACAAATCAAGTTCACAATGGTTGCTTTTATTATTGAATTAGGAGGAATTACGTTTGTTTTAGCAGAGACATTTTTTTGTGTATTTAACGAGTGAGGAATAATTTTGTAGTGGTGATTCTTTAGACACAGTGAAATACCAAATTGTCAGCATTACTGGCAACGAAAAAACAAATAGCTTACTGAGTGTTTGAATAAATAATAGCAATTGGTAAAACTGTGAACAGCTTAGTGTTTTTCATATCATTCCATTAAACATTGATGATCAGTTTGCCATTGTGTAAAGCAAGTATTAATGCTACCATTTAAGTTTTCCTCAAAAGCTGTATTCAAATAAAAACACAAAGGGCTACGTACGTGTGAGGCCAACAAAATGTTTTTCTGTAAATTAATTTCTTTTAGGCAAAAATCCTGTATAGTTTCTTTTGTGGGCTTGTACACTCTCAATTTAATGAATTTCTTTTTTAAAAACATGTTAAGAATATTTATCTGAATTTAAAAAAAAAAAATTATTATTGCTAGCAGTGAAAGAAAGCGGTTTAACGCAACGTTTGCTAAAAGCTTCAATGAATAGCCAAAATGAATGGGAAAGTATTGAAGTATTCCATGCAAATCTATTTTTAAGTTCACTAAAGATTATAATTATTATTACAATTCATAAGATATTTGACAGTAATACTGATTTGGGCTCATCATGTGTTCTTGATGCGTAGATTAATAGTATTCTGTGTATTTTACCTCATCGACATTTGCTACGAATTTCACTACAAACCGTGGATCATATTACTTCTTCGTATTCTATATTTTAAGCCGCTTTTCATGTATCAATCTAAATTTAGAATTGCCTGGAGTTCAATTTGTCATGATGTCGTGATCAGATAGCTTGTAAGCTTTTAATATATAAAATGTGAATTTTAGTGAACAAGCGTTTTTGTTTTGATGAAATTACCAATGGTCCACTTACTTGTTTGTAGGGGAGTCTCAGTTTTGCTTTATGCTTGTAGATCAATTAAAATAATTTTGTTTTATTGTTGTAATGTTAAACACACACCCCCCCCCCCCCCAAGGTAGAAGAAAATTATCACCATGGCAACTTCATGACTAGTGCTCGCCAGTTGTTTTTGTTATGGTGATATGACTAAAATTTTGTTTTGTTATTTTCTACTTCCGTGTGCATAGTACACAACAAGTCTTTGTGGTTACCCTGTCTGTCTGTATGTATTACCTAATTTGCATAATTAGTCAATTTTCATCTTTTTTGCTTATATTTCAAGTACCAATCACTGCATTTCAATAAAACTTGGTACATAGATGCTCTAGAACAATGTACAGACCTGATTAGTTTTGGGTTAAAATTCATGCATACTAATTACCTGATTTGCATAATTAGTAGATTTTCTGCTTTTCAAAAGTTGGTGTTAATATATATTCTCTGGAACAATGTACAGACCTACTGGGTTAAAATCTGTTCATATTAATTACCTAATTTGTTTAATAATTCATAATTTTTCTGCATTTACATTGATACAATTGTATCTCAAGTTCTAATCACATTTCAATGAATATTGGTACATAGATGCTCTGGGGTAATCCACAGACCTGATTAGTTTAATGTTGATAAATATGCATAATGATTATTTAATTATTGTTATATCCCCAAAAAATGAGATGTAATTCGAACTTGTGGTAGAAATAAATTAGACTGCAAGCCACAGATATACAATCAAATTTATTTTCTGTATGTGTTATAAACTTCAATAATGTGGATCACATTGTTTTCACATTGTACGTCTCAAATAGCAGACAAATATTAGTTGCCAAGCTTCTTGTTTGAAAGGCTAATCTTAAATTTTGAATTAATTTCTAATATGCGTCCAATACTCTCATCTCAGCACACAGGACTTCTTTCTAAGCTTTCTTTGATTGTGACTATTGTTTTAGTTTTACTTACCAATGTCACTTATTATGATATTATGATTATATTGATATATAATTACATTATATTTACATTATTATAATGTCCGCCACTTGTACAGGATTTAGTTTATAAAACACTCATAACTCGTACTGTTTATTATGCACAATCTTTTTATTGTTAAGTGAACATCAATAGTGTAACGAAACCATGAATATGGGCTTTACTTTTTTTTGAAATAAAATGGGCAGGGTGATCAATAGTTTCACTATGTTATTCAAGTTGAGTCGGTATTTCTGAAGGGCCATTGTAACTGTGTGCCAAATAATTTCAGATAATTTTGGTGTTAAAATATGGGATGTCATTTCCTAACTTTCTCCGTTTCCAGTGTACACAGGGCCAGTATATCAAGTGTTATAACAGTCATGGTAATACCGTTTTTCTGGATGAGCCTGAATTAAAACTGAAAATAACACTTTTATTAAGGGACAGTTGTAAAAATAGAGAACTTGAAACAACAATCCATTCCAATACATGTACATGTATCACATGCCTTGATTTCAAAGTCAAGAGTCTTCAAGTTCAAAGACTGTTCTGCATTAATTTTAAAGCATAAGGATATGGGGAGTTGGCTCTTGCCCTCTTTTTTTTCCACCCCCAGTTGGGTAGAATTAATTAAGATATTTTTTTGTTATTGTAATTTACTAGGAGAGGTTATGGGTGCATTATGTAAAAGAGACGGGGTAGAGATTTATATATCTTCAAAAGACATCATTCTTGAAGGCGTACAACTCAACTTAGATAGACAACCTATCTCGGATTCCAGTCACGAAGAAGTCAAGCAAACGGAAGTATTGATGGAGAAATTAGCATCGTCCCCCGGAAAGGTCAGTGTGCTTTGTTTTCACTTATCGGTAGTGATAGAATGAAATCTTTCGATGCGTCAGTTGCAGGATGTACTCGTATTCGTTATAGAATAATGAATTATTTCAGAACGTAATAAATTTCTGAGCATGTGCAAATGACAACCTCATGAATATATAATGCTGGTGGCAGTCCTGCATACTATATGGTACATGTAAACTCCTAATGGCACCAATGTGAATAACGTCACAATGCATTACTACATACGATTATTTTTTTAACGAACAATTTGTCTAATAACATTATTTTGGAAAACGAAGTGTTCTTATTGTGTCAGTGTAATTATTCGAAGGTCAATAAAAGCACAATGAATGTTGCATTTATGTATGGTAATTAAATCTAATTTGCAATAGAAAGATCCCAAAAAACGTGAATCTGATGAAAAACGTTTTTGTCAAATTTAGGAGTGCCACACTGCAGATGCGGCTAAAATATTTCACGACACGGCAGGTTGGAAGAATCTTGAGACTTGGATGAAGTAAGTGACATCTCTTGATATTATTGACCCTTTTTGTTTGACCTTTTCACCCCTAGAATTATGTAAAAAAAATAATGACAAAAAATAATGTGTATCTTTCTCTAATTATTTTTGCTTCTTTTGTGATGATTCTTGCATCATTAATTTAAATCTATGAGAAATATCTTTGAAACAATTTTTTTTGTGAACAAGTTTACTGCAGTCAAAAGGCCCAGTGTGTCTTCCCTAGTTTGTGCCATGAAAAAGTCATTGCTTGCTCATATCGTGGATGAAATCAAAACAAGGTATGCCGATTTTGTCATTCTAATCCAGCGTGCATACCTGCAATCTTGTTATCATCAATGTCAAGTTTATACTGTTATTAGCCCCCATGGAGCAATGCTTGAAATGGAAGCTAGTGGGGACGAGCAGTGTCCCTCGGTGGGCTGGTGAGGTGTGTTTGTAATTGTACAATGATTTTTCAGCAATGATCAGGCTGATTTCCATCAAATTTTGTGTGAACCTCACACAGTGTGTGTTTGTTGTGGCATCTCGTTTACCATTGATCAGAGAAAGCTGGGCCTCGGAGGCTTGAAATGCCAACAGGGGCCGTGTAAATGCAGTTACCGTACTTGTTTGCATTCAATTGAAATTTGAATCCCTCTTATCTAAGTAACCAAATTTACTAAAAGCATAACATTCTTGTGCAAGTTAGCCTTTGTGCAAACACACTCCTGAAACAAGTCATTGACTATTAATCGGTGTGATACTCAGTTGTGGTAATGGTCCAAATTTCACAATACAAATGTATCTCTCTACCCTCAATGTCTAAAAAAAAAGAAGCTCAATAATATAATTGAATTCAAGCTGTTTAACATTGTGTGATAAAACCAACATCATGCCATTTACATAATGATATCATAATGATTGTTGAGCTTTTTTAATAAGCTCATTTGCATAATTATAAACAAATATGTTAGAAATTAGTTCAAGCCACATGAGCTGAATCGTATGTTTCTATGATCGTTTGATAATACTGTTTAATTTTTGGCGATTTGATGATTTTATGACATTTGTGACGAAAATTGTTTTCAAAAGTAACTGACATTCCGTGAGAATTTTCACTGCTACAAAATTTCGCAAATTTCATTGACTTGTGAAAGTCGAGAAAATTTAATCGCTCACAAAATTAAAGAGGTTTGGTATAGCCATTGTAGCCCTTTAAAATGACACAAACGGCATTTCTGCAGATTTGTGTGATCAATACGTTTTAAAAATTTTGTGGAAGAAAAAAAGTTGATGTATCGGTGTCTGAATGACAAATGGCAGTGTTTCTATTGATGTATAATTTTGTAGTATCATTTCCAACCATTCTTTGCCGCTTGCAGCATGGTTTTATAAAAGAAAAAAAAGATTAATAAACGAAAATGGTTTTCAGAATGTGCAGATTAAATTATTTCAGCATCACTCAACTTTTTACTTATCATTTTCTCCTTGTTGTCTCATTTTAATATCTGAGAAATCCATAATTCATCTGAGATGAAACAAAATTAATTTAGATAAATACATGTTCATTATTAAAATTTGTTTCAACCCTGAAGGAATGGAAAATATTAAGTGGTTATACGACTAATGGGTTTCAAATTCAAGTTCATCCTGATTTGATTCTCTCAATAACG